CAGCTGACAGGTGACTAAAAGATAAAGGTGTCAAGGGTAGAATATAATAAAAATTCGTGGTAGTTTTTAATCGCCACTTGTTTTTTCTATTGCGGTTGGGTTTTCGAACAGAACATTTATGGTTCCACAGTGGTGGGATACAAGGATACCGCCTTGATTCGCTGTGTGACACAAAGTGAACTGTCGACTGTCAACCAGCATAGTTGACTCCAGACCCGAATACTTAGTACATTATCAGATGCACTGATTTGTGTTGCAAATATTCATGATATATGGCAAATTAGGCCCTGTCAAGTGAAGTCTACAATTCGGTCTAGCATGTATTGAAGAACTGGTCCAAAATATGACAGAATACGAGCATAGCGTAGTTCCACCAAAATGGACTTATCAAATCTTCGGTTTGATTTATTTGATCTGCTAAAGATGTGCATGTGAGAGTCAAGTTCTAAGAAGACCAAGAATAACCTTTTAAAACGTTCCACCATTTGGAAGAATTGATCGATAAGCAATGAGCCGTACGACAATTTTATGCTTAGCTTATTTGAATTCATCATTCCTTATCCATTCATAGCAACAAAACTTCATCATTATCAATAACCGCTTCTCCCTTCGGATCTCAGAGAGAGACTCTTCAGACAGTGCTTCCAACGTTCTCGATCCTGTGCCAGAGTCTGAGCTTCGACAGAAGACAATTGGAGTCTAGAGCAGACTTCGATATATTTGCACCAGGTTAATTTTGACCGTCCCTTGGGCCGTCTTTCGGTCAGCTGGTCAAGAACTAGTTGCTTCGCTTTCCTTTCTCGAGGCATTCACGCACATGTCCAGAAGAAGCAGCGGCTGTGCACCAAGGCTATCGCAGATGTATTGCAGACCATGTCGAGACGCGTAAGAGCACTGACTAGCCTCAGAAAGCCCTTTTAGGCAGCTTGTACGTTGGATCGAAGCCTGTCAGTCATTGTTCACGACTCATGCTCGTATCTAAGTATGGGGATAAAGATGTACTTGAGTACTGAGAGTTTAGTTTTGACTTAGTTCTGCTTTTGTCACAATGAATCGGGCTAGTTCTCGCAAAACGCCACTGGCTACTCCAATCTACCGGTCAATTTTTTCCTAAAATTTCCATCACCAGTAAATACGACTCTGCGGTACTAGAACTTCTCCACCTGCTCCACTGCCTCTCCGTTGATTTTAAGAGAGCAACAGGTAGGAGAACGAAAACTCACTAGGCTTTCTGTTTTAGGTGCGTTCCCACGAATCCCAGCTACGTCGAACTCGATTGCAAACCTTTCCAGGAGCCCTCTTGAATCAGTTTCACAAGATGTCAATGAAACAGTCATCTGCAAACAGCAGCTTTCTCGAGTTCACATCTCCTACACCGATGCACTCATCGCTTTGGTGGCACCTGACTATTCTATCTGTCTACAACATAAACAGGAGAGTTGACAGAACGTAGCTTTGGTGGAGACCAGTGCTAACACTGAAAGTTTTCGACTTAATTCCATTTACTCTGACGCAGCACCTGAATCAAATTCCCATTTGATTCTCCGGTTGCTTCTGCCGTCAGATCTTCGTATGGTACTCCATTTCTTACAGCGCAGCTTGCCAACAACAAGGTGATGATCGGTTGATAG